AACGAGCCGAAATGAAACACCCGGACAGCCCGAGAGCACAAACGCAAAAAAACCCAAGCGGGTTGTTTTGTTGCGTTTACTCATTTGCGTGAACCGCGCGGTTGATAGCTTTTACTTTGACAGAGGGAACGAGAGTATTACGTTTAAACACAAACTCTGCACTTTAATTTGATGAAATGTTAATGTGACTAGGAGTAAATAAAATTTCAAAAGACCGTTTAATAAGCGTCATACGAGCACGGGCTTTGAAGCATGACGCTTAAAGAAGATAAATAGCAAAGCGGCCAGTTGCCACTTCGGGTGAAATAAAGTTAAAATAAATATTAAACTTTAAAATTGTCGTTGCAAAGCGGTGACTTTGGTGGCCTCCGAGCCTGATGGGCGATGTCAGGGCCGCTACCAAAACTCTCAAACCCTTCGGATCAAGCCCCAGGCTGGACACGAGAGGGGAGACGAACAGAGCCTTGTCGGTTTCGCAGTCTCGGCATGAGTCGCTGACGACTGCACTTCGTGGTCCGGCGTAACTTTGTTCGGCGCAACAACAACAACAACAACAAAAAACGTTAACGCTTCGAAAACAAGCTGGGTTAGTGCGTTCGAGTGGAGGAGCTTTCGCTGGCGATGCGTTCACGATTGAGGGCACCGAACTCGATGCAGATGTTTGAAAACCAAATGAGGCTCTTCAAGTTCCAACTAGCAGATATACTAAGTGACGGTATCGCCATATGACAAATGCCAATTGCATGGAAGCAAGTCAAAATAAGTACATATGTTTTGATTTAAAGCTTTCGTGACTGCAGTAATTCATATTCTTAGCTCTTTCGGTAAGGTCACGTTGAAGGGAAACAATATATATTTTATTATTTTATTGTTTCCCTTCAACGTGAATTTACCGAAAGAACTAAGAATATGAAGTACATATGTGTGCACTACATTTACAGTTTGTTTTGTCAATCCACTGCTGAATGGGGACTTCCTTATGCCTTGTTGGCCGTGAGGGATATTTCACCATACTTTACCTCGCTGATCAGTGTGGGTTGATGAAGGTGGGAGGGGTATAGAACAATGATGGATTTTGAACTCTGCTCCCATACCTTCTACTACACCTGTTTTGTGAATGGTGGTCACCCATCCGAGCACTATCCAGGCTCAACCCTGCTTAGTTTTCAATATTTGATGAGATCGGGTGCATTATGGGTACACTAATGGTGATCATATAATTAATCAAATAAGACATTAAACACACACACACATACATGCTGGTAGACTTCCTCATACATTTGTCAAGATAATCACTGCTTTCAAAGTATTCCTTTTAACATTACGTAGTTATTTCATACGTTTTATGGCTCATAAGATAATTCTCAACGTTAAGGCTTCGTGGAATGTTTCTCTTTATTTTGGCCTAACAAAAAAAGGTAAACCTCTCCCATTGGTCAGCATTGCAAGGATGGATACCTCGGTGGAAGCGTCTCGTGACTCAATATCATCGCCCGAAAACGATCAGGTTTCACAGCACCGTGCAATAAAACATTCAGTGATGAGCTGGCCTTTCGTCACACACAGCAGCGGAAAATGTGATTTCTTTTGGGGGGGGGGGGGGCTTGACAAGGCACTGGGAGTCCTCGTGGATGGGAAGAGGTGATCGGGTGGTGTTTGGGTGGGAGGAGATGATCGGGTGGTGTGTGGGTGGGAGGAGATGATCGGGTGGTGTGTGGGCGAGAGGAGATGATCGGGTGGTGTGTGGGTGGGAGGAGATGATCGGGTGGTGTGTGGGTGGGAGGAGATGATCGGGTGGTGTGTGGGAGGAGATGATCGGGTGGTGTGTGGGTGGGAGGAGATGATCGGGTGGTGTGTGGGTGGGAGGAGATGATCGGGTGGTGTGTGGGTGGGAGGAGATGATCGGGTGGTGTGTGGGTGGGAGGAGATGATCGGGTGGTGTGTGGGTGGGAGGAGATGATCGGGTGGTGTGTGGGTGGGAGGAGATGATCGGGTGGTGTGTGGGTGGGAGGAGATGATCGGGTGGTGTGTGGGTGGGAGGAGATGATCGGGTGGTGTGTGGGTGGGAGGGTACAGAGCAAGGCGGAGGGTGAGGGGGAAGGGCGAAGGTGGTGGGGGTGCTCATGGAGAAGGGGCACTCGAGTCTCAAGAGAAATGGGAGCAGGTTTTTTTTTTACACTAATCAACTCCACCACCACCACAACTGCCACCCCCTCCCCACTACCCCCACTTCCCAGATGGGGCACCCAGCCACAGATTTGTCCCAGTAATGGTTGGAACTGGTTGGGGGGTTTATATTGAGGGGGAAGGGATGCGGTTTGAAGTGGGTGGGTGGAGGTTGGGGGTATAGCGGTGGTGGTGGTGGCGTAGGGGGAGTCGGGGGGAAGGGGGTGGTGTCACCAGCCTGGCGGGAGGCTGCTGGATGTATGGCTGAGCTTCTAAGGTGCTGGGTGATTTACTAGAGGTGATGTCTCCCATTAGAAGGCTTTGCCCTCCGGAAATGTGTAATATTTGCTGTCTGCTGACAATAGATTAATCATGTTAAAACTGCCACTAATGACAATGCGCTCGCACGCAACGCCTCTCTCCTCCTATACTTTTTGTAATAAATGATTAACCGGATACGTTTGTACGTTTTATGCCACTGTCTGTGTGAATTTTAAGATACTAAGCGGATGATGTGGCCGGGTGTCTGAAAGGTCAGAGTGTGGGGGCTGGCACCGCTGACATCCACAGTTGGACATTTTGGTCGGCCGGCTTTTATTAAATTGGGTTCTCGAGTGAAGTAAAGTCGCTGTTGTGGTCAGCCTCGTTACCAATGAATGTACAAATAAAACTATCAGAATAACCTACGTATATTTCATCTCCTTGGTTCTTTCGGTAAAGTCACGTAGAGTGGAAACAAAATAATAATAATAAGGATAATTATAATAAAACATAATATAATTCTCACGACGTTTCGGCCACAACACGAGTAGCCTTCTTCAGGTGAATGAACAGGACTGTCCAGAAGACAGCGCTTGAATGAACAATGCCATCCATTGCGATCCATGCTTGGAAATGTTCATTCGAGCACTGTCTTCTGGACAGTCCTGTTCATTCACCTGAAGAAGGCTACTTGTGTTGTGGCCGAAACGTCGTGAGAATTGTATTTTATTATGTTTTATTATTATCTTTATTATTATTTTGTTTCCACTCTACGTGACTTTACCGAAAGAACCAAGAAGATTAATCCCTGCAGTCACGAAAGCTTTAAATCGAAATCTACGTATATTTGTTTATTCTTCCACTTAATTTCAACTAAATTACAGCTCGGAAAATAGTAAAAAAAAATATCTGCTGCAATCAATCTTATAACCGCGTGTGTGAGAGAGTGCACCCCCAACTAGGTAAAGGGATTAAAAAAAACTACTTTTCAGGATTTTTCAAGAGCATCTCTTTCACGGACATTCTCCGGACACACGGGGCTGTACTGTTCTGCGAGATTTACAAATGGATTCCCCATTCCACAAGATGATTCCAACGGTTAAAGTGGACACTGCAGTAAAATATAACGGCAATGTGCCAGCCACAGGAAGTTGTGTGAAAGTCTCTTGTGCAGCCATTCTCCGACAGACAGGGTCACTCGTCTCACGGCGCGACACCACGAGCGCACTAGGAACGGCCGTGCGATAATTTGCCGAGTAACATTGTTTGAAAAGACATCACTCGGAGGGATTTCAAGAAGTAGTTCTGCGATTTCACCTTCCTCGGTGCGTTCTCTAAACACGGAGTGATGCACCGCTCGGCGAGAGTTCCACGTGGGCGTTTCTTCACCTCGTCACTCGGTGCAGATAGTGCAATTGATGTAGCGCTGAGATCGAGGAGAGGTGGTCATGTTTTCACGTGGCGTTGGGGAGACGCAACGCCACAAACCGGAGTTGCATGAATGAGCGAACCAACAATCCGCTGCAATGCGCCTTGCACGTTGCTCCGACTCCGTCGATATTCCACCTCCCATTTTGTACGGCAGCCAACAATGAGATGACAACGTTGGTGTCATGTAAGGAGACAGATAGAGTTACGGGTGTGCTCTACTTTAAAAAAAAACCCACACTGCTCTGCACCAGGGTATTGAGTTTGTTAAAGTCAAGGACAACATCTGAGAAAGAGGCTGAAATTAATCTCCGTTTGTCAGTGACAGTAACACAAGATGGTCCTATCACACCAGTGTAGGGATGTGCCCAGTGGGGGGGAGGGTGGTGTGTGTGTGTGACTCTCGGAGTGAATGTAAATATGGAAAGGTGGCTTAACGATGATTTAGGTGGTCGCAAAGCAGCGGTCGAGAGATCCCGACCGGGTTTATGTGTTTCGGGGTTTCCTTTGTTTAAAAAAAAAATAAGAGTACGACCATAAACCACGTAATATATGCTGCTTCAATGACAGATGCAAAGGCCAGTTCGATGTTTGAGAAAATTCGAACGAAACCATGATGAAGGCATAACTTTGTGAAACACTATTGTAATATTATTGTCGACTCAACGATTAATGAATTATGGCTTTGCAGCCCAACGTTAAATCCACTGCTGGATGAAGGCCTCCACATGCCATGTCAGCCGTGGGGGGACGTTCGATCATACTTCACCACGCTGGTCAGTGCGGGTTGGGAAAGTGCCCCCCCTCCACGACTGATTTGGATATCACTCGCCACCGATGTTATCCTTGGTCAGGAATCAAATTCTGGGTCACTGGATTCAGTGGTACATGATTATGTTTAGTATTATTATTAGGGCCGCTATAATTATTGTAAACGCGTGTGGCAGTAACATTAAATACAGTGACAGGCGTCTACGATATTGCATTCAATTTGCATTTCTCATCGGTTGCCATCAGCATTCCCTCGGGTGTAGAACGCGCGATGAAATTCATTTTTTTTTTGCCGAACCTCACAAATACCGCTCACGACCCTGCCTTTCCCTCTGTCTCTTCCCATCTCCCTCCCTGCTACTCCCTCTGCCAAGCATCCTCCAATCCTGGACCACCCTCCAATCCCATGGTATCGGAAAACACAGCAAAGCGGCACATGTATATGAATATATATGAAGGACATCAATGTCCTCGGACTTCTTGAGTAAAAAAAAACACAACCACGTATAATATGATGAGCCACGTCTTCCTTGCAGTCTCCACACTGCCACCCAGCACACGCCTAAAGAAGGCAGCAGTCGCTTACTCACCAGCAGAGTGCCTCCATACAGAGGATACCTGAGTCAGTGGTGGAGCGTGGTTGGAATGGGCCCTGTTGGGAAAAATCAAATGGGAGGGGGGTGGAGGGTGTGGGGCTAGGTGGTAGGGAGAGGCTGGGGTAGAGTGGGGTGGGCGGTGTTGGGCTGGGTGGGGTGAGAGGGCCCTGTCCAAGTTGCCTGCTCTCTTCACATCCTCAATGCCTGGACCTCACTGGCCCGTGGTACCAAATGTGCAGTTGCACCGCCTGCGTCCTCGATAGCCACGCGCCGCTGAGCGCTTTGCGTCCGCGCCGCTGAGGGTCGTGAAGTTCTTTAAGACGAAAGTGTTTCCGAAACCGTTACAGACACCCCTGACAGCTGTTATGGATGATTTCACAAAAATTCACGGCCTTAAGCTGGAGCTGTATGAATTTTTTTTGTTTAAAACGAAGCACCCAGCATGATGCACAGTATACATGACAGCATTGTTTGAAAGTATGTTGAAGGGAGGAACAAAAATATAGAATGGGTGTGTATTGACAGGTGCACGTGAACGTACATGAATCGAGAGCTACAAAGTTGAAATGCTCCTGTTTTGTGCTTTGTTTATCAGTGCTGCAGACTGCACAGTTCAGTGAATTAATAAGGGCATGCGTGTGTGTGTGTGTTTGCATGTGTGTGTGTATGTGTGTTTTGTGTGGGGAGCGGTGGCGCAGTGGTTAATTCATTGTGCTATGAACCCGACGATCAGGGTTCATATTCCACCTCGTGGCCAACAACGAATAACTGAACCGGTCCTGGGTCTCCCCCAGGTCGTCTCAGCGTTATAATGAGTACTTGGTGTCACGTGTTAAATGAGTACCTGGCGCAATGTTTAAACATTAGATCTGTGGAGACAAACGTGGCCGTGCATCGTGGAGACCACCCACCCCCTCTTGTGCCGTGTCAGCCTTCAAAGGTGCTCGCTAATAGCACTCGCCCCAATGGTCTGTTAAGGCTACATAAGGGGGGGGGGGTATTTTTGTTTGTGTGTGTGGATATGGATGGACGCAGCCTGTAATGACGTTCACAGTGTGAAGACAAAGGTGGCCGGGTGTGGTGTTGGTTACATCACCTTCTCGTGATGCTCGCTTACAGCACTTGCCCCAACCATCTTTTAAGGCTATGCGGGGGATCTTTGTCTTTGTGCAGGAGGGAGGGCGTGTTGACTTAGTGGTTAGCAGGCTGCATTACGATCCCAGTGACCTGGGTTCAAACCATGGCCATAATTCACTTCACAGCTGATATCTGAACCTAGCCGGAGCCTCCGCTAAGTCGACTCAGCTTGCAAAGGCAAAGGCAAGGCATACTGCTGTCCACTAGGCATGCAACGACGCATCAGCTGATTGAAACCGACGGCTATATTTGCAATGCATGCATCGAATGGTGCGTGCGACGGTCGATCATTTTCAATATATGGCAATTAAATCTCAATTTTCTATTCTATTACGTGAATACACCCACATAAATGAGAGAGCAAAAATGGAAAAATACGAACAAACGAGACGTAAGATTTCAAAGCGTAGCCCTGAAATTCCCTGTTCATGCCTCTACTGGCCGAAGGGAGCTCTACAGAGCCCCTCTGAAGGGTATCTTTGGCCTACTCTTCCATACTGGCCAGAAGTCTTGGAAAAGATGGGAGTACCGACACTTGACCCCACGGCCTGGACAGTGCTGTGCATGGGTGGACACCGCACATAAAACAGGTGAAGTGGGCAGCCGTGGGGCTGCGTGGCCAGCAGAGGACATGTGCAGGAAAAAACAATTTGTACTGTACTATGCTCCAGCATCTCTGCTCTCCGCCTTCACCATTCCAGGCTGAGCGGGGTGGTGAAGCATGCGCAATGAACCCCCCCCCACATTGTGAGGAGCAACTCATCCAGCAGTGGATTGACATGTTATCCGTGTGCGTATCTCTCACTTGGAAACAGGGGTGATTTCCAGCAATTGGTGCAAAGTTGGTGTGCACAAGGGACAACGCCTACACACGGAGGAACACGTAAGCCGGGCCTGTTCAGGTTCGGCGATCCGGAAAATATTTACGCACCTGGCACACCGCATCCAGTATTCCTCTCGCTGTGGCTGTGGCCACTAGTCCCAGCAACCGAGAAATAAATGTATTTCACTGGTAAACCAAACCCCCCGCAGTTAAGATGCTTAAACAAAATTGGCAGACTTCTACATTTGAGTGCAGTCAGAACCTCATTGTGCGGGCGATGGATTTTATGTTTAGACGGGGGGGGGGGTGCAAACAAAAGGCACTGCTCAACAGAGGAACCCAACGGGCCCTTTAAGGAGTCGTTAAACAGTCGTTCTTACAAAAGGGGCCAGTTTCTACAATTTACACAGCAACCAGCGGCTCGTTGACAGAATTATCAACCAGTACGGCCGGCAAACGGGTCTGCGGCGCTGGATTTGAGCGGCTACCCGGAACGACATCTCAAGCACATTCGTACGACTCCACTCCTCCTGAGCCTAAATTGTTTTAAAGTTTTTTTGGCGCTGGCACCTGCGGTGTCAAAACGGCGAAATTCGTGGTAAATGTGGCCGCTCCCTCGCTCGCTCGCTCGCACGCACGCGCAGTCTCCTCTCGCGGCGGGCCTAGCGCTGCCTTCTCACATGCATTGATGCCAAGGCCACTTTGTGATAATAGGACGGTCCCATATGCATAATGCATGTATAAATATGTAGCAAAAAAAAAAGTTGACACGAGAGTGCTTTAAAAATGTATGAGCATTGTGGAGGTTATTTGTACTTTATTGTTGTGTGACAGAGGCGTGAGATTGTTCTCATTTAGACACTATATATTATTCCGAGATGATTTATGCTTTAAGCGTTTTAGCCAACCCCACCAATTTAGAAGGGTGGCTATGGACATGCAACATGCAGAGTATTTGCAAGTCCTATATTTGCCTTAAAGTAAAATCCATTCTACATCGACTAAACATGCTCTAATCACATGAGCACTGTCTTCGTAATAACTAATTAAAATGTACAGTCCCCTTGTCAATGCACTGCTAGATGAATGCTCTCCAAGCCATGCCACCTACTGTGGGTTGTTTGGCCATACTTTACCATGCTGGTCAGCGTGTGGTTGGTAAAGATGAATGGGGAGCGGTGGTGTAGCGGTTCGGTTAGCGTGCTGCGCTACAAACACAGCGACCCAAGTTGAATTCCTGCTCACGGGCCAATATCGGTGACGAATATCTGAACCGGTCCTGGGCCTCCCCTAGGTCGATTTAAATTTCAAATGACTACCTGGTGAAGTGTGTAAAATTGCCACTGGAGAGACAAAGGCGGCTGGGCGTGTTTCCGGCCACCAAGCCTCCCCCCGTGAGCTGTCCTCGCTTTCATAGGTACACACTAACAGCACTTTACCCCAACAGTGTGTTAAGGCTATATGGGGGATCTGTATCTTTGTCTTGGTAAATATTAAGACACAGAACTAGTTCAGATATCACTCACCACTGATGTTGGGCAGGTCTGAAAATTGATTTCAGATTGCCGGGTTCATATCACAGTTTGCGAACCACTCTGTCACCACTCCATGCCAAAACTTTGCCGTATAAGAGAATAATACATGATGTGCTTATCTTTGACCACTGGCCACAACGCTTATCTTGACCACTGGCCACAACGCTACTCTTAATAATAGCCAAATGCCTGAAACGTTAGCCGATTATGTGTACGTGATTGCAGATGTCACGAACATCGCGCTGTGCTCTGAACCGAGGCGACCTGAGTTTGATTCCCAGCCACAGGTAACCTCGGTGGCGGGTGAAATATTTTCCTGTCCTGGGCCCCCCAATTCACCAACCGGCATTGACCAGCATGATAAAGTATGATCGAACAAATCCTCATGGCCAACACAGTACAGCGGAGGTCTTCATCCAAAAGTGTATTGACGACAGGCTGTAATTATTATTATTATTATATCACCAATGTGTGAAAGTTATAAACCTGTGGGATATTAAACTCATGCCATGCATGATTTATTATTTGTCTATAACTTGTTCCCATCGCATTAATGCATTTCTTCACAGAGCATGTGCAATGGAAGCACACGCATACTCAAGACAAAGATCCCCCATGTAGCCAACAGAGACTTGTGTGGCAAGTGCTGTGAGCTAGCACCTAATGAAGGCCAAGCCTGGTGCACGAGGGGGCGGTGTGGCCAGAACCATTCCCTCCGTCTCCGCAGTGGCAGTTGAGCGGGAATGGAACTTGGATCACAGTGTTCTAATCACTGCACCACCGCTCCAACGTGCACATTTGGTCGCGCGCACGCACGCACACGCGCGTTCGCATTGTTATCAAAAGAAAAGGTCCCAGTCACGTGTCGTGACCTACCTATTGATAGGCCGGCGTTTCCGATAAATGATGGCTCGGACACACGAAGTGAAGTCGAGCCTCGCTGCGCGTTGGTGCAGCTGGTAATTTGGTAACAAATCTCCGGGGCTTGCAGATAAGAAGAGCCCTCCACTCGGTGTAACTTTCACGCTATCTGAGTGTGCTCCGTGGCCTCGGGGTCATCGGATTATCTTGAGCGAGGGCACAAGAGCGACACTTGTTTCTCCTGATCAGCGGGGGGGGGCCGGGGGGGTCCAAGAAGGAAATAAAAGGCGAGGAAAAAATAACCTCTCCGCATTGTTCCGTCGTGAACGCGATGGCACAAACCTTTTTTTTTAAAGTTGCACTCGCTAGAGTAGCGGCGAGCAACCGATATAAGCAGTCGTGATGATTAATATGCACTTCAGATTGTCTACTATTACATTAATTATGTTCTCGTTTTTGTTAGTTATTTAAGCTGGCTACCTGTGACCAAATCACTTGAAATGTGCTCACCTCTTGTCAAGTTTTTCCTTGAACCTATCTACGCGACTTTACCGAAAGACCCAAAGAATATGTTTTCGGAAGCTAAGCAGGCATTTTGAGCCCGGATGATAGTGCTTGTTGATTATTGTAGACTGCGAGCCTACGCTGTTGTACCATACTTCTATGCTCCCGCTTCTATGTTTTCCCGCCTTCACCAGCCGG